GGAAGCACTAAATTAATAATGTTCCGAGTTGAGTCAGAGACGTTGAATATATTGAAGATGCTCTCCACAATTCCAGAAAACGTGAACATGGCATCATGTTCTTGCTGATTATTCAGCTGTATTTCTGGCTGAAAAACTGGGATATCTGGGGTTTTAGATGATCCCGGAAGTGGCGGAAAGTCCTTGTTAAAATTACAAGATTTAAATCCCGGTGGTGGGGGTTTCGGTACATTTCCGCTACCTCTTAAATTTGTCAAGGTAGGTTGGGAGTCCATACGAGAGGTCTTACGCGGATTTTGAGTGACGTTTTTTTTTAATCGCTTTCTCGTGTTGCCTTTAAAGACAAAGGGACTACCTTCACCAACCTCTGAGTCAAAGCCCTGATCATCATCTGGCAAAATGGAGTATGTGTTTTTGGTTTTTGGGGTGGTTTGGGAAGATGAAGCGGTGTTTTTTAAGAGTTCTGCAAGTGACCTCTTGGAGCGAGCTTGCAAAGACCGCTTAAGTTTTTCTCCCTGCTGTTTGTACTTCGGGCAATCAACCAAAGCATGCAGAGTATCCTTGCAGTAAACACATTTTGGGGTAGCCCGGCAAGGACCATCTGCATGCAGCTCGCCGCATTGATCGCAGCTCGGTTTGTTGGAGCAGAAGTCAGCGGTGTGACCAAGTTGCTTGCATTTTGAGCAGTTCATTACCCGCGGTACAAACAAGCGTACAGGCAGTCGAACCTTCCCAATTACGACGTAGTCAGGTAGCGCCGATCCTGAAAAGGTCACACGGAACGAGTCTGACAGAGAGTACGTTTTTTTCGTGCCAATGAGAGACACTGATTGCATTTGGATTCAATCCAGAATCTTCACTTTCGGAAGGGCACGGTTTTTTAAAATACCGAAGAATTCGGCATGAAGGAAATCTTCGCAAGTTAGACTCGCTTCGGTGACCACTCCTTCGATTTCTACGTCGCAACTGGGGATGTAGACTCGATATTCCATCGAAAAAAGCTCATAGGCAACAATTCGGTTTGCCTGTTTCAGGTCATCAACGGTAACGCGCAGTTTGTTTGGTGTCACCTTAAATATATCGGTTACGGCCGAAAAATGTTTTGTCAGATCCTTCGAAATCCGAGAAATATTCAAAGGTTTTTGTTTGGGCCGGAAAAAAACAACCCACGGACCTTTTGAGCCGCTTGGATAAACTTTATGGCGGGGGGTCGCAGAAATTTTTAAGGGAACGGTTGGAGTAGGGGGAACAGGTGGACGAGGGGGCGATGGTGGAGAAGGGGGGACAGGGGGTGCAGGATGCTGTTGTTTAGACATCACCTTTGGGTAAGCTCCAGTGCTCGTTTTGGGGTCCGAAGTAGAGTTCCCTGAGGTATCCATTTTCTCTTCAGTGAGAAGCAAATTTTCGAATGATGGAGATTCAACAGACTCATCATCGGAGATATCTGCTAGCGAAATACCCCCGCCATCATTTGTTTCATCCATTGCGGGGTCTTAAGTACCTCCGCAACAGATTTCGACATAAACAAGAAGAAAAAAAATATATGCGTAAGGACAAAAAAAAAAAAATAAGAAATAAAATAATAACAAAAAGAAATATATAAGAAAAAAAAACTTATCCAGAAATATGACGGTAAAAATAATACTTAATCCAACAAAGCAAAAAAAAAATTTCCAGGAAAGTTAATCAACACTAAAGGGAGATTAATAAGACTGCAAAAAAACAGTAAGTGAAAAAAAAAGAAAAAAAATGAAAACTTTTTCAGGAAAAACAAAAAGGTGTCAAAAAAGTTAATCAACACTATAAGGAGATTAATCAGATAGCAAAAAAAAAACCGAAGTGAAAAAGAAAAAAAAGAAAAACTTTTTCAGGAAAAAACAAAAAGGTGTCAGAAAAGTTAATCAACGCTGTATGGAGATTAATCAGGTTGCGGAGAACGGAAGATAACCGTTTGTTACTTAACTCTCCACACAAGCGCACGGAGTGTGGCTGATGACGATGATCTACTGATGTGAGGATGGTGGTGATGATCGTTCTATTGTTGCCCTCGAGTGTTTTCAACAAAGCACCGGCTGGCTCGCCTGCTGGTGAACTCGATGACCTTGATGTTGCAGTGGCGTGATGCTATGAAATTTGTTGGCTAAAGATGAACAGCTCATCTGCCGGACTCGGCCGGAAATGACTGCTTCCTTTCTCGAACGGTTGTGCGGCAAATGCAATTCCGCGATGCTCACTACACTTGTGTATACTATAACACCACTCAGTGTGAAAGCGGATTGAAAAAAAACCTCAATAGGGAAAAAAAAACTAGTACTGATAACGGAGAGCAAGCAACACTAGACCGAAACAGTCGAACGTTCGATGCGGAATGATTGCATTTTGTTGTATCAATAATACTTATTCATATAAATTCAAAATAGGATGCTTTTTGTTTTAATAAGCCACTTTTCAACTGCAACTTTTGTAAAATTAACAATTTTCTATGATTAAGCCTACAATAGTTAATTTTAATTTAGCATTTATTTGTTGTGTCCATTCCCCGGGTCATGAATGCAAAAATAACTACCAACCATTCCCTCGTTTTTACCCGGACAAAAATGTAAACAATAACAAAATTTCCGAAAATCTTGAGACCTAAGGTAATTAAGTATGCTGCAGTTCGAGCTGCAGTTGCTAATTATAATAAATTTTCTCATAAATGGGTAATATTTTTACTCATTTAATGGGTAGTCCCAGTCTCCATTGAAAATGCTTACTTTGTAGGGTATTTTGCGGTTACCGTGTAAGAGAAGAGGAGACAATTAGGTTTTGCACCGTCGGGGTTAACCTCAATCTGATGACAGTTCAGTGGTACTGTTTACGTGGACTTAGTCGATTTTTTCTTGGGTGGATTTTCTCGATAATTTTTCAGACTGCAGTGAGATGTAAACAGCATTTCTGCAATGTTCACGAGCAACATCCTTGCAACGCGCTGTTCCTCGACAATTTTCAAGTTAAAATTCAGAAACTTTAGAAATTTTTTTTCGAAAAAACGACTAAGTGCTTGTAAACAGTACCACTGAACTGTCAAAAAAGTTCAACCGTTTAACACTGAGTTCATTTGTGACGTCACGCTGCAGAACCTAATTAGATTGCATCAGATTGAGGTTAACCCCGACGGTGCAAAACCTAATAGAGATTAGTGACGTCGCACGTACACTAATGGGGGTCTATCGCCGTGTAAAGTTGTTTATTATTTTCCTCGGGTTAACCTCAAAATGTATGTAATTCGATCTGTCAAAATGAATTTAACAGCGGTTTGTTATGTATTTTCCTCGGATGTTCACTAAAACAGTTTCACACAGCGCACCAATACAACCAGCCCTGAAAATCTCTATACGGGGGCGAAAACGAACCACTTTTCTGTCAAACGCGAACCAGCTCGTGATTGGCCAATTTGAAGTGCGTAAGATAGAGATAGAGATAGAGATAGATATAGATAGAGATAGATATAGATAGAGATAGATATAGATAGAGATAGATATAGATAGAGATAGATATAGATAGAGACAGAGATAAAAGAGTAAGAAGCCAGTTGTCTTCTCTTCTTCTTAGGTATTGTCCTCGGATTTAATCCCGATCAAGAATGTCCAGCTGCTTTGATGTCGACACCAGAGTTAATCAACACGACATTCATTGCAGATCATCCAAACAGAGATGGTATTAAAAATTAATCCGAGTTGGAGCTTACCAACATAAAATAAGGGGAGACAATACTAAAGCCCTCTAGTTAAAGTGTGGACGACTGTGTGGACGGTGCATTTTGTTGGTTCGATTTGAACAACTTTTGACAGACCTCCATACTTTTACTGTAGGGTTTTAGACAATAGAGATTAGTGACGTTTAACGCACGCACACTAGCGGGAGCAACGCCGTGTAAAGTCGTTTATTATTTTCCTCTGGCTAACCTAAAAAATGTATGAAAGTAGATCTGTCAAAATGAGTTTGACATCGATTTGTTATGTATTTTCCTCGGATATTCACTAACACGCTCTCATATATCCTACCAATACAACCAGACGTGAAAACCTCTATTGACTTCTCTACGTAAGGTCTCACTAATACAACCTAGTGAGCTTAGTCGTGTAAAATCGATTTGTTTATTATTTTCAACCACAAAATCAGCTGTCAAAGTGTTCGACTTGACAGCGGTTTGTTTTTTATTTTCAACCAGTAAAATGCATGTATTAGTGAAACTTCTCACTAATACTAACGGTGGCAGAGAACTCTATACGGGGGGCGAAAACGAACCACTTTTCTGTCAAACGCGAACCAGCTCGTGATTGGCCGATTTGAAGTGCGTAAGATAGCGAGGGGGGGCGACACGTCTAAATCTCTATTCTAGATGCTCAACAAATCTCACACTAGCAAATAAATCTTCAGAAAATCTTCTTTAATTTCTCGCATCTACTTGCATTGCGTATCATCGTTTTACAGGAAATCTTCAGAATCGTCATCAATCTTCTACCAATCTCCTCAGCGTGCGCGCAGCTAACCACAGCAAAACACAATTTTCCCTGCATCGTAGATAGAGTCGCCCCCCTCGTAAGACAGAGAGAGATATAGACGATGATATAGATAGAGATAAAAGAGTAAGAAGCCAGTTGTCTCCTCTTCCTCTTAGGTTGTGCCCTGCTACACAGCATAAACTTTTTTTTTCCTTTATTTAACATCGGTCTCTGTTCCGCAATCTAGTGCCAATCATCACGGACATCGATTGCCATCCATTGACGTCAATCGAATGTGCAGGAAGGCAGCTTCCACACCTGCGTAGGATATCGCACCCATTCAAAAAAACATACATGGGCCGGGACCAACTTCCCTTTATGCCTCAGAAAAATCCCACCGTCCTCGGCTGGGATTGAACCCAGACCCATTGGGGCGAGAAAGCAGTCGCTCTTCCCATTACACCACCGGCGCAGGCCCACACAGCATAAACGAAAACGACATAACCTACTTACGTGGCAATTGCAAAATCGAATATTTGTAAGCAGAAAAATGGTAGTAGATGAGATGGTTTAGCCTTGACCGCTCCATAAATCAGCATCAAAGTTACAGCAATCATGCAGAGAAACACTAATCCACTCATATCAACGTCATCTGCAGAAAGAAAGAAACCATTATCATCATCAAACCATAGAAATGTATTCCCATACTACTATGTAATCCAGATTGTTGGAAACGTTCAATATAAGCATAAGGGCGATCCACCTTACTCAAGGGCGTCGGCAATACCGGCGCGAGTTGTTCGTTTCCATTGTCATCGATATCGTTCATACCATCAAACAACAAATGGTAGTTGTTTGTTCGGATTATGATTGAAATGATACCTAAAGCTAGTAGGTTCAAGCACTGTAAAAGAAGAATAAGCAACATAATAAGTACACTGAAAAAAGTTTTCACTTAGTTTCTATTAGGAACGAACATAGTATTTTCCAAAAACAAAAACAATGATTTTTACCTGAATATCACATAGCATTAGAAATTCTATATGAGAAATCATATAGATTTCATTGGACACATAACGTTCATGTGATTTAGTGGTGCAATTTCCAATTATGGGATCACATGAAAGTTATGTGAAATTCACATGGATATTTTCCACTGGTTATGTGATTTATTTTATGAGTGTATGACTAACAATTCTAGTTAGAGCTGGAATTAGGGCGTAACAACTTTTTTAAACAATGACTTATCTCGTTGATTTCTAGATACTCCAGGCACACCTACACAAACCAACATACCCATCGGATAGGGGAAGTCTTCCCGAAAAAAAAAAATAACAACAAAAATACAATAAAAAACAATGTAACAATAAGACGAAAATTATTGTCTTAACAATGATTTATATTGTTACGTCTACAATAAATTTACATTGATTTATGTTGTACAAAACAGTAAATTTCATGGTAAATGGAAAATTTACAATAAAAAGGGGGGTTGTTAAGTATCTTAACAATGAAATTTTCGTGATTTCCCCATATATTTTTTTTTTTTCAATAGCATTATATATTATTGTTATTTTACTGTTGGTTGGCGAATTTATTGATTAAAAAAATAACAGTGTACTTTAGAGTGTTGGCTTGACAGATCTACTTTATCGACTTTAAAAATAAATCGAAAAAATAAAACATCGCCCCGGGAAGGGAAGGGGGTGGTATTTCTGTTACGGGTCAGTCCTTTTTTTACTGGTTATGGATTGAGATTCGATCCTGAACTTGTGAGAAATGGAGACCAACTCCCCTGCACTCGATCTCTCTAGGTCACGTCTCCTTGGTTGTTGAGCGTCGTTGATAAGTTAATGCATTCTACTGGAGAGAATCGCCCATGAAATATGCTTCCACCTGAGAGTTATTTCCTGACATCTTCAAGTGGTGGATTTTTTTATTATTATTGTATGATTATTGACTGCACGGAAAGGTCTGCATTAAGCGGGATTTAGATGAGGCAGGAGAGTTGAGTTCAATTCAAACCGATCTGGTCGTAGACGTTCAATTGACTTGGCAACGAATAGAGCCAAACGAACTGGCAAAGCAAGAGCCATACGAGCAGCGCCTATCTTGATTACATTGGCAGTGTGACCCTCTCATAGTCTGCATGCTTCAATCAGATTTATTTTTATTGTTCGTGAAGTAACCCACAATGAAAACACACCAATATTTAATGTAACAACAATTTTTATTGTAATAGAGTTGTTAATTATTGTTCGTGATCGATTTGTTTTGAGGTTGAATATTTTCGGAATCGTGGCATTGAAAAAAGTGTCAATGACAATGTTAAAATGTGTTGTCAGGTAGCGTAGCGGTTTTTGCGCGACCTGTCATTTAAGCAGACAAGAAGAACAGCTTACTGATTATCAGCAAAAAATTTTGACGTTTGTCTATTTTACTGGATTTCAGCAATGCTAAAAATGCTAATACTGAACTCCAGCAAAGAATTGTTTTGCTGAACCCATTTCAGCAAACTATTTTGCTGAAACTCAAAATCGAAATTTGGTGTGTAGTCGGCCAACTTTGTCTGCTGTTTAATCGGCAGATGATTTCAAACCTTAACATGTTTTCTGTAATTTAACTGTCTTGAAGTAGCTTTTTATTTAGGAACAATGCATTACAAAATAATTTTATGCATTTTGTACAAGGTTCATCCATGCTGACAAGAAATTTGCATGGAATTACATTGAAATTAAACAATTTTGCAAACAATCAATTAAATTGTCAAGGGCTGTCAAAGACTTATCACCATCGGTTAGTGCTTATTCCTGCCACCAGGCGCGCAGGAGTTTAAGTTGGATTTCTCAATTAGTGTCTTCTTTCACGGTCCCTTTCATCCAATGAGAACCCCCCGTATTCAAGGTAATTTTGTGGTTTTGCTGCCCCCTCGCAAGTGATAAAATTTTGCGCTCATTTTTATCAAAACAATCACACCAAAATCAGAGATGTCCCATTTTTTTAATTACTCGATTAACAACTTATCGATTATTTTTTGTTCGCTGTGCTGGCATTTTTCCACCAATGAGAGTGCAGCACATGTTTGAAACGATCGGTGATGATCCTGTGGAGATGTTAATGCTTATATCGACATGATCTAACCGATTATAAATAGTTTACTTTTCGGTTCGTTAATCGATTAAACGATTATTCGAATGAAAATCGGACATCACTAGATGAATGTGAAACGTCATTTCAAATATGAGGCCGTTCATAAATAATGATACAATTCGAAAGGGACCGGGGTTAATCACAAATTACGTCTCCATGGTAACTGAAATAAACACGAGTGTTCACCGGTTGGAAATATCGTCAGCATATGGGAATTACAATTCAAGAGTAGAGAACAATATAAAATCTGATCCCAAAACGTTCTTTAGCTTCGCGAACGATAAAATGAAGTCATGTGCATTCCCATCACGCATGCAGTTTGAAGAGTGTGATAGCACTGGTAGCACAAACGAAGTGACAGACGACTAACTGGCGAAGAAATCCATTAAAATAATGTGGTTCACTGTAATAGAATTTTCTTGGAAGCTTGTGCCATCATCCACCAGATGGGTTAGTTTTTTTTGTTTTGATTTGACCAAATTTGTTTTTGTGTACAATGATTCTTTGACAGTGTGCAAAGAGTGTATCATTTTGTCATTTTTTATGCATTTCAGTTTTGAGTAGAGTGAAAGAGATAGAATCAAAACATTCTAATACATTTGGTGAAAATGCTAGTACAATCCAGTAGTAGTGTTGCCATGTGGTACAATCCAGTAGTAGCAACAATCAATATGAAACTAACGATTTTAAATTGGCTCACCACTTTAGTAGCCTATTGGTCCCAAGCAAACGATTAACGTACGCTATTCTAGTCGAAATTCTAGTACTACGCAATGTTTGTTTTGATTCGCTATGAAAGTTTGACAGATAAAATGAGGGGTTATTGGTTTTTCCTATGTTTCGAGGGGTGAATCGATTAGCTTGGGACCGAAGAGAGTACCAGAGCTGAGCCAAAAAGTTGAGCACGTTATTTCGGGACCTTCTAGTCTTAGAGTTACCTCTATGGTAGTAGTGGTGTTGCCATGTGGTACACTGAAAAATTGAAATAGCAGGTTAGTCACCAAAGTTTTCGAGCCGCTCCGTCTGTCACTTTGTTTGTGCTGATAGTGAGGATATTTGTAACCTATTTGCTCGTTTTTTTTTCCAAAACACATATAAGAAATGCATTAATGCTCTCGATTTGAACTATTTTTCTTACCTACATGAAGGGGAAAATGACGTATCAGTTAATAATATCACTGTTCAAGAAATTTTTATAACTCTTAAAAGTCATGGGTTTTTTAAAGGTCGGTCAACGTCTACTAATCTGTTGCAATTTGTAAACTTTTCTATTGAAGCAATGGATAGAGGTAATACAGTTGAAACCTTATACACTGACTTTAGTAAGGCCTTTGACAGAGTAGACATTCCCTTACTTCTTTTTAAATTAAAACGTTTAGGTATGACAAGTACACTTTTAAAATGGATTGGATCATACTTTACAGAAAGAATACAGACGGTCTACTTTAAAGGAAAAATGTCCTCGCCAGTTAATGTTACCTCGGGAGTTCCACAGGGATCTCATTTAGGTCCTTTATTATTTATTTCATTTGTGGATGATGTGAAGTTTGTGTTGAATTGCTTAAATGTGCTCATATATGCTGACGATATGAAACTGTACATGGAAATCTTTAACAATAATGATTGGCTACATTTAAAAAATGAAATTGATGTTTTCTACAATTGGTGCGTTAAAAGTCTGTTGGATATTAATGTTAAAAAAATGCAATATTATGTCTTATTCCAGAAAACACACTGCTCTAGATTTTACATGTACTCTAGGAAACCAGCTGGTTGCAAGGTGCGATAAAATTAGGGACTTAGGAGTAATTCTTGACTCGAAGTTGACATTTGTAGATCATGTGAATACCACAATTCACAAAGCAAATAATATTTTGGGATTCATAAAAAGATTTAGTTATCATTTTAAAGACCCATATACCATCAAAACACTTTATATAGCTTACGTGAGATCAATTCTAGAATATTGCAGTGTGGTTTGGGCTCCATACCATGAAACTTATATAAATCGTATAGAATAAGTTCAAAAACAGTTTTTGTTATTTGCTCTTAGGAAACTAGGCTGGACCTCTTTTCCCCTTCCTTCTTATGAGTCCCGTTGCATGTTGATCAAGTCCCCGGCAGGATGACAGATAACCTTAGTTTCACGTACCCACTTGCAAATAGTAGATGTCGCCACACAACGTAAACAAAGGGTTTGTCCTTCACCACCGCAACGGTGTTTCTGTATGAGAAACAAAATTTTTGTTTCACCATGTGTGGATGTCAAACAACAGGCAAGAATGCCATATGAAAAGAGCGAATTCATGAATTTCGTGGTGAAATTCAATAAATCCATACAAATTGAACCGATTGAATGAGTTTCATCTTATATCATCGAATGGCAATCAAAATACTTTGATTTCTTCAGTTCTATTTTGCTCTTGAATTTGATCAGCCTTCAGAATATTGCTTTGAACATAGTTGTGCAATGAAGGTTTACTTTCCCGCGTTTCTCCTACGGAATAAGTAAAGTAAACGGCTGAAATTGACCTTCGACAGACGTACAAACTACACCGTTGTACCACAAACGAAGTGACAGACGACTTACTGGCGAAGAAATCCATTAAAATAATGTGGTTCACTGTAATAGAATTTTCTTGGAAGCTTGTGCCATCATCCACCAGATGGGTTAGTTTTTTTGTTTTGATTTGAACAAAGTTGATTTTGTGTACAATGATTCTTTGACAGTGTGCAAAGAGTGCGTATCATTTT